CGTGAGTGTAATTCGGCAGGATTAACGACAAGGATTGTGTAGCGCAAAAGTTATCCTCGCCTCCTTTCTCGCTCATGATTCCTCATCAATCCGCAGCGCAACAAAGGGAAAGTTTACGAAAGAGCGTGATAATACGTTGTTAGAATCCTTAATAAGAAATATAATAAACGGCAAATACTATCAAACTGTGCCTAGATGGAGTTATCAGCATTTATGGGGTCAGAATTATTTTCTTGCTTTAATTCGGTGAGACTTTACGAGCTATTATTAATCACAGAAAAGTAGGACTTCAACCAACATAGAATGATACGACGTAATTTTTAGCTCGTTTAATTTTTACGAATTTTTACGCGCGCAAAGAGTGCTCGTAAAATTCTAAAGTTTAATTTCAACTTGATGAATGATATAGTTAGTTTCTACAATAGTATTTAATTATATAAGTAAGCTTTATGCTTGGCTCCTGTTGGAATTTTTGCAAGTAAATCGGTTTTAATTAATTGTTTAAAAAATCGTTAGAAAAAGATGTAACACATATATTATTAATTCTTAGAATCATTAAAGACTAACCAATGCTTGCACAACGCATGTGTATGGACATAAATGTATTTCATTATTGTAATATCCGGGAACTAGTCCATGAAGTGTGACACGTGATAATGAGATACTTTGCATATAGCCGTGTTGCAATGCCAGACTTTACTGCAACTTGTGCTATGGTTGACAACGTCAAGCACAAATTGCACGCACCGAAAACCCGCTGAGTGCTCGCATTGTGGCACTTATTTAGCATGATTAAATTAAGCGACATCGAGGACAAGAGAGTTAGAAAGTGTTAAAATTCGCGAACAGAAATTTGTGACAAAAAAAGAAGGCGCGCTTCTAAAGAAGATGAAAAAATTTATTTCGACAGATACATGTAAATTTCATGTATTACAGTTTATCTATTTTCCGGTTCGTACATCTATAAATTTGTAGAGACGTGAAAATATGCAACGAGCGTTATTCGTGCGTGTGTGCACTTATGTTTCACTTTACGAAGTACGCGTTCTGTTCTTTCCATCGGAATTGGATCATTTTTCCTATTTATCCAAAAAATTATATAGTGCTGCGTCATAAAATCAACTTCTACAGTGTCAATATTTCCTTCAGTATGTTTCATTCGATCGTACGACTGTGTTTTTTATTATATGTTTTTATTATATTCCAAATCGCGTATGCATACGGAATATTAAACATAGTTATTCAAGTATGCACAACTTTTTTTATGACCAGACCGTATATTAAAATTCTGCAAGAATAAGTCTCTATTCGAAAATTTAATTAAGATTTTATTTAATCGCACCCCAGAAAATTCTATTGCCACAAAAAATACTCTAGTTTCAATTGCTTGAAACTCAGGTAATATTAATGTTCCGATATTTTAATTAAAGGAAAATTTATACTCGAAATCAGTCAAAGAATTAATTAAAGTTAATGTATCTGTAATATCCTATAATCCGTATCTCAATTGAACATCTCAAGAGAGAGTTCGAAAGTTGTAAATTTTCCTTACTTCATAATTTAATTTACGATATAATTAAATCGAAATTCATTGACGTCACAATAAAGTCGAACGTAATAGTATAGTCTATCGACATTTATTCATGAAACGATATTGATGCGGCACTTCGATCTTCACGAGGGCTATAACGAGAGAGTACCGAGAGGAAATATTTTCACGGCTTTACGAGCTACCGAAAATAATACGCGACATAAAGAGTGCGCGATGTCCGGTTTGTCTCTAACATCATAATGCCATAACGTTCGTAGAGAGTCTCGGACACGAGGGCGACGACATCGACGACAACGCGAATCGGCGTCAACATCGATTCCGGGTTGTCGTTTTCCCGAAGCACCACAGGAAAATTTAATTCTCGCGTCTGACGAACGAAAAAATCGTTTCTCAAACCACTCACGTTATGCAAGATGACTTGCCGAAATGAGATTGTCAATTGCAATATTTTTCGACGTCAAATAAAATGTGAAGAAAATTATATATATATATATATATATATATATATATATATATATATATAATGAAAAATATGTACATAAAATATATGTACGTAAAATATGTGTATATATGTACATAAAAAATATGTACACAAAATTTCTTATTTACGTGACAGTTTACTTCATTTGACTAAAAAAAATTAAATCGAAAATAAAATGCAAGGTATTAGTACTATGTTTATATGATATTAGATTTATATATTTTGTACAAAATGTTTTTGCGGGATTTTAGATGATTCATAAGGTGTCTGAGGAAAAGTTAATGGAAAAGTATGGTATTCCTGCACAGAGATATTGCTCGGTAATTGCTACAGCTTTCGGAATTTCTCGTAAATATGACAAATGGGGAAAGAGCCGAGGAAGTCGGCGCGAATTTCGCAATGAGTCTATTATATTTTACAGTGATGCACTTCCGACTAATCCCGCGTGAAAAATAACGGAGGGAAGAAAGCGATACGTGAGGAAATATCGAGAACACATCGAGAATTGACGATTTGGATGGCAAGTATGATCACGTGCCAGGAACGTATACCTCGTGAAACGAATTTTCTCGCAGTCGGAGTCTATATATATATCTCAGCGAAACGATCTCTAATACCCTACTTTGATGTGCTTCGCGTGTTTTTATCGAACCCGTCGATTGTGCCAAGATAGAAATTATATGGTTCGTATCCGGCGTATTGAAAAAGCCTGATTGAAAGCAGAGTCGCACGAGATGAGAGAAACAAACAGCTGCGACTAGCAAATTACGAGACGCAAAGGATCAGGATCTTGAGAAATAACTATCGAAGAATGTTTAGATCCTCGATAGTTTGGTGATGACGTTGTCACCGGCCGATGGATGCCACTTCCGCGCGATCTTACAAAAGTCGCGCAAAGCATCTCGTAGGGAAAAATCCCATTATTTCCGACACGTCAAAAACTTCGAGGGGAGATAGCGATTCTCTTTTGTACTCGATGTACTGTACAATCGAGAGCTGGAGATTGAATCTGTCGGTACGCTATGCATATTCAACGGAATGCGCGGCTGCCATTTTATGCAGTTCATTCGGCGTTTATCATAAGGTAGTGAGCCAGCGGTGGAGATGTAATTGCGGTTATTCGAGTGGTTGTTAACCCTGAATAATTGAGGGTCTTGGGGTTATCGATTGACCATTTCTAATTATAAATTTCTCGATCCGTCCGGTTTAATAACTTGTCAAATTTAACGCTTCCGTTAACGTGAACGTTATCTACTCGAACGAGATGCGCCAAAATTCCAATACCATCGATCTCATTTGAGTACAGTGCTCATCGTGGACCTGGGAAAAGCGCGTAAATAATATTTCACGTAATCTACCATCGCCGCTGGACCAAAGGAGCCGTTCGAGAGAGGCTTATTCCGTCAAGCTCTTGAAATATGCATCGCCCAACGGCGTTTACATGTCGAGATACACTATGTAACATGCAGCTCGCCCTTACAGGTTAACGCGGTGTAACGGTTTGCCCGACATATCCAAAATTCAAATCACGCGGCACTCTTCCTCGAACGACCCTACGTAAATGTAAACGTGGACGCGTATAAACCCGTTAGACCTCGAAGGCGGCCATAGATATTACGATTTTACGAGATATCGTGGCGACCGCACTAGGTGTCTGCTGCGCAAGAAACGCGCATACATAGAAGGTATCGACACGTTAGTAAGGCGACGTTTATCCACGTAAATGTGAGGGATAAATATAGCGAGGAATATCGATTTCGCACAATTGATGCAGCTATTTTGGCACTGTTGTTTCTTATCCATGAACAGATTTATGTAGATCTTGTATTTATTTGGACGATCAAACAAAGAGAGTGAAAATTCAGAGAAGACGATCTTAATATAAATATTGATCTTATATAGATCCTGCATCGATAAATTGTTGAAAGCAGAAATCGAGAAATTAAGAGAAGTTATATCCGAAGAATAATATACTCCCATCTCACACCAGAAATAACGCGACGATAAAAGTTCCTGATGGTTAGGTAATTGCGAAAATATGTTCGTTTAATCGATACCCGAGTGAAAGTGCACGTCGTCTGTGATAAATATCCGGGAACGATAGCTTTCGAGACATCGAGAGCCCCTCCCGAACGATTTAACAGCCGGAAAAGTGTGCGTATGGTCCGTGAGAGGAAAAAGAAATGGAATCTCGCTGTATATAAATCGCCGTTACATGAGAATCGCCCGACGAGAACGTTGCGCGACGTCGTTTGGTCGTCTGTGATCGAAGTAGAGTCGATCTCGACTACTTCCTTCCGTCGTCAAAACGAAACAAACGTAGGACAGTCAGCAGTGGCGCCGAGAGTATAAAGTATGAACGGAAAGTATTCACAGAAAAGTATAAAGACGTAACACGCGTGTATAAGATATGTAATATATACAGCAATATATACGTAATATGTAATATAATGTAATAATATAGTATAACATGGTATATATCATCTTACACGTTAACGCCGTAATCCTATCATTCACTAATAAAATGTCATCCACTAATCGAAGGCGTAGCTTGGAAATGAGAAAAGCTAGAAAAATTTCTATAGGTAAAAGTTTATTAAATTAACGGACGTGTAAAGTAAAAACTCTAAGATCCTTGGTGTGTGCGAACTATAACTTGAAATTCTTCGACAATCGTGATGCGATAATAATTCTATTCGTTGAAAAAAAAAGATCCGCTGTTTAACGTTAAAGAAGAAAAAAAGAAGAAAAAAAAATTGGAGCTCTTGGACAAGTTAGAAAATCATCACGCGTGTCTTGGAAAACTCTACGCGTCTCGTGTAAAACTTTCTATTCTAAAAAAATTGACTCTATCGCGTATATATTACATATCGTGTAAACAGTAACAATCCCAAACGAACCAATCGAAAAGAAAGGAGGAGGTGTGTCTGGCTGGTGTGCAGGCAGGCATGCTACGAGTTACGTTACCTAGGGTGAGCTTCTCGCCGGAATCGGGCGGCAGGGTGAAGCCCAGTAGGGCCATGCTCGATATCAGCACGCAGGGCACGATCAGGTTGAAAAAGTAGTAGAGGGTCCTCCTGCGTATCTGTATCGTGAATGTGACGTCGACGTACGGCTCCGGGCAACACTGATACATTATCGTGTTCTTCTTCCCCGGCATACCTGGAAAAAGTGCCAGAACCGATGTACACGCCGACATGTCTGTCCGTCCGGGGGATTAAAAAAAAAATGATATCGATGCTTTACGCGGCCCGGATAATCGCGTCGATTGCGTTTTCGATTACGGATAATTTTGTTTCCTCACTCTCACTTTTTCTCCCGTTACTCGCAATACATTTTGACCGTACTATTCTTCGAGATGTGGTGTTCTCATCGGAGAACATATAAAATGTCCGCCTGTCTCTGTCAGTATCTCTATCTGGTCCATGCTTTTATTATTATCGTCCTTCATCTTTTCTACTTTTCTTGATGCTATATCTGTATTGTATCCTGAGGGGACTAAAATCCCAAGATATAAAGTATGGTCTATCTATCACCTCCATCTGTTTTATAGCGAGCTACGTGGATGCCATCGAGTAGTAAGCAAAGATTCTTTTCTTCCGCGATCTCGCTTTAAAAACTATTTTAAGATTACGCCACAAGATGTGTAAGGAAGAGGATCTCGCGGAGTTGCGAAATGTTTCCTTGTGTTCCCACCGTGGCGATTCTATTTCCGCGACAGGTTAAGTTACCGGTGAACGAATGGCGACGATATATACGTGTCTCGCAATAAAACAGAACTTGTCCTCCTCGTGGTCTTTAAATACGATGCACCAGCCGGCGCGTTTTCACCAGGAAATGGTGTGAGAGGCGACTCGACGAAAAACGACCGTGCGATACTTTCGAGGACGGAGGGTTCCGCGATAGTTTCCGATCGGACTCTCGAATCGACCTCGAATGTCGCAATATCGGACAGTCACTTGTTGCTGGTTTCTTTCTCAGGACACTTTTTCTTTGTATTTCGACAATCGTGTGCTCGACGCGCTCGGCTCGCGATAATTAACGTGTCTCGGAAAATACAGTGACACTTTAGAGGCGACATTCTAAATCACGCGTCGACGTGTTCACCACGTGGGAACACGGAGTGTATTGTTCTGTCGGTTGCAATAAGAAGATATCGAGCTGGCGTTTCTGTATTTTATTTGTTGGTATTACAATCGAGCGCATTTTGTCTCTGCCATCTCTTAAAACCGTCGTCGCTTGATATCGATCAGTTTTATTTTAAATCTTATTCAATTCCGTTCTTCGCTTCACATCGGAAAAGCTACTCGATGTCCAATGAATTTTATTGAAACGAAAATACATACATATATGCATATATGAAACGCAAACTCTTTCATATTATGCGATATGACATTGTGTTTCTTTTACATCCTTACGCAAGATTTTTATGTTTCCCTCTTGAAATGTTGTCTCGGAAGAATGCGCTCTTCCGTTGCCAGAAACTTTTCCCTCGCTCGGATATACGTGTACTTTCAGAATTTTTTTCAACATCGAGACTATCGCAAATTTCATCCCCGTTTCAATTTCGATTCGTAGACACAGTGAGTTTTCTTCGAGAGAACCACGAGAATAGCACTTTTTGATAGCTCAAGGAATGTGATCGTAAAAGAAAGCGGACCAATAAGTGGGACGCGGGGCAAAGAGGAAAAGAGAAGCACGACGAAGGAATGTGACATTGCCACCGCGAAGAGGGAACGTCATAAAGTCATACCCGTTGAGGCATCGCGAAAGATACGAAGAACCCATAAAATCTTTCGGTTTCTATTCGACCGCGCGATATCGATCGTGATTTCACGCGAAACGAAAAGCTCCGGGATGCAACATCTGCGAGTAGCATCGGCGAAAAATCGGGGATGCGGTTTCTTAACGACTTCCATCAACATTCCTTCACACATCGATGACGCTGTTTCGTATCACCGGCGAAATTTGCGCCTTGGAATTCAGCCGAGAAACTGGAAAGAATTAGGGTGGCAGATTTTTCCTTCACGATATATTTTTTCTTCATAATTTTTACGAAAACTCTCATTTCTGGCAGAGATAATACAAAAATGAGTTGAGGTACATTTTTGCCATATAAATGTAAAAGAGTTTAGAATAAGAAACAAAAAGTTATTTTGATAAATAACGAAGGAGTTAATAAATGCAATGTAGTCGCGAAATATGTAAATACAATTATATTCGTGAATTATGTAATATACCAACCGCATAAAGAAGCAGGTCGTAACTTGGATTGTATATTCATATTCTCGTATCGTCAATGTTTCGAGTTGAGATGCAAAGCAGAGCGGATAGGAAAGGGAGAATAAACTTTTCGTTAATTGTGAATAATAGTTCACAAGCAAAGATTCGAGGCGGCAACAATTCGATCTCATTGAACTTACAGAATTGCATAATTAAACCACGTGATTGTGTGTAGCGAGCTAAGAATGAAACGCGGTTGAAAAATTACATCTTGCTGTTAAAGATAAAGCCGCATAATTACTCTCTGCGCTCGTAGAAAATAGAATCGTTAAATTCTGTAACAGCTTTGCGATATATTGCATTTTATTCGACGTTCTATTCCCATTCTGTGCTTCCATAACGTACAAGCTGTACAAACAGATTCGCAAATTGCGATGGATTAATGTAGGCGCATTAGTATTGTACATGCATGCTGAGAACGGACGGGGATTAAGTCTCGACGCGAAACGGCAAGAGAGAATCTAAATTACGTCGAGCACTGATTTTCTTCCTATCTCCTTCGGATCTATTAATCGTCTGTTTTTCCGAAATAAATTACTCGATCGCCATTTCCATTGAAACAGGGAATATCGTCAAAATGCTTTAAAATCTGATCCGTTTCAATCGAGCGACAGTTGGCGAGAGACAAAATGTCATATTCGAATGTATCAAAAAAATGACGTTTTATATAGATCACTAATACGTATTAATCTTTCGAACGATTGAATGTTGAACGAAAATCGACGATAATCTGATAGAAATTTATATTCGTCCACACACGTGATAGATATCAGTCTTTTCTCGAGTCTTGCTTGTGATCGTTCTACTTCCGGATTAATAGCGCACAACTTATTCATCGATACGCATCGAGTCGATTCGAGATTCTATTTTTAATCTGAAGACACACACACACGCACACACGAGCCAATTTAGATTCTGATTGGCTTGGAAAGTCATAAACTTGAGGCTCTGTGAAACTCACCGATGAGGTACCATTCCCCGTTCATGATGAAATCGGATAAGTCACCACCCTCCTCTGAGTTGAGTACCAGATCGAGCTACCAAGGTCAAAGTTTGATTAAGACGGGCACATATCTACACGACGGGGGCATTCCGTTAGGTAAGTTGAAGCCGAACGTGCCGCATGCAGCTACAAATTCCGCTCGCGTCTACGCCTACGTCTACACTATATGTTTACAAGAAAGTGCATCCGCAATCCGGTGCGAAGATGAGACGGATGGTGGTTTCTTTCCTCGTAAGTGGCGCGCCGTATTTATAACGCGTCTGGAGAAACGCATTTGTGCGGCCGACAGGCGGAAAACTGGCTCTTTAACGTCGCTGAAAATTGCTTTCCGCGCGGTCAACAAGTCCTTGTCCATGATAAAGCGTTCGCAACTTGACGTCACGAATATATGCGGGATTCTATAGCCGCGAAATTTCCCCCTCCCCTCCCCGTGCGAAACTTTTCAATCATATCACACATGTCGATAAGACGAATAGGTATATTTGTGTACCATCTGCGGAGGGGAATAAAAGTAGATGGACCGAGTTTGGCCTCCACAAAAAGCTTCGAATCGATATTTCACGATAAGAAATTTCCGCAGATTCGTGAAATTTCTTCGAGAATCCGGCAAGTTCTCTATCTGATGAGTTTAAAGTGGACGATAAGTGAAATATTAGCCTAAGGGCTTCGCGAAAGCTAAAATCAATAGCATCCATTCCCGTCCGTTTAATCTTCCATATGACGATAAAATATATTATAATATTAGCTTAAGAATACCTCGTTTCTCACGTAGATTTTACGCTCGATTGCTTCGCACAGATATCTCAATTTAAAAGTAATAAGAATCTACGAAAAGATTTCACGGCCTGCTACTTCTCTATGGACATATCGCGTTGTAATCATATTAAAGTAATTGAAAGAGATCTTAGACAGAGAAAAGGGATTTTCTTCTGCTATCTTCATCTTTGCTCCCATCTACACGGAGGATTGGAGAACAGGAAATAAAGTGACGACACCGGTGGGATGTCGTAGAAGATTCTCTAGTTTCTTTCAAGTCCCGTATCGCTCGTCGGATATCTGTTGCTCTTTGATCAAGAGCCAAATAGGATATACGCGGTTCGTCTGGTTGTTACGGACCACCTAAGGCTCCGAAAAAACTTTCTTTGACACACAGAACTGTTTCCTGGGTTATTCAATATTTAACCATTTACAAAAGTGTGTTATTGATACGAGAGAACGATGTTAATTATAAATCGCGTAGAATAATAGATGACTTTTCGTATGATTTTTTAAACATATATATTCTCGTGTATATAAGTTTCTCGCAAATGCTTTTTTATTTTTACAAAACTTTCTTTTTTTATCGAGAAATATTATTCCTTGGAGAGAGGAAAGAAAATATTATTCATAAAGACGTTACTTTCCAATATTCCCGGGCATATTAGAGTAGAACGAATTTGATAAAAATTCAGTTTAGTCCCCGATGTACTTCGAATATCTCTTTTGAGGAGAACGTTACTTTTCCTTTTTCAAAATACATGTGAAAATCTACGTCGCGCTTGTACCGAGGAAATTGGAAGGGAGTCCTCGATGTAGCAAACTCAATTTATAGGAAAGACCGATTATGTCGCGTTTATTTTCTCGTTCTCGAAGAAAATTATTGCCGTATCTAGCTCATATCCTGTATTCGACCAATCAAATCGACTCATTCACTTTATCTTCTCATCATCGCCTTTTTTTCTCCATTCGTTGATCCTTCCCTCATGATCTTTCGTAATAATTTCTACGTAGCGCAGGTACATAATATATATATCGTGAAATACCCAGGGAAAATTACGGACGGATTACATGGGGCTCGTAAAGATAGCCCCTCATAATTCATCGCGGCACGTATATTTTGCTTCGGCCTTTATTCACGAAGCGGCTACACATAGTTTATTGCGTCAGCGCGATGCATCGGGAATGGACGTCTCGAGATGCAAATGCATCTGCTATTATGTGCACGGTCCTGCAATCCCCTTAACTAATTAAATCCAATCTTCATATATAACGCCTCTTATCCGACGCGTTTAATCAAGACGATGATATTGGAGGAGCGTTTCTGCAGGATGGGCTTCTCGTACATACGCAATCGAGCGCCTCGTCGAATAATTACAGCCTCTTTGACGATTAAAAAATGAGCCATTTTCCGCCGTCGACCGTAAATTTTACCTATAAATAGGGAATTGAAATCAATAGTAATTTTGGCGAGATCGATTTTCCACGCTACAAGTACGAGTGAATGCATCTCATACCGTTTACTGCGTTTATTGATTTTGAATAAACGTAGAGATTATCTTCGTGCATAGCTATCGAAATATGCACTCGCTCAAAACTAGATCGGTTACAATTCATTCCATAAACGGATTTGGCAATTAATGCACGCACATGAAAACAGTATCGTAATCAATTAGAAATAATGCAATGTTTGACGTCAACTCGTGTTACTCGATTGCCGATCACAATTAAATTAACGACAAAAATTACAATTAAATTAAATTTTTCATCTTCTGAAATTCTTAACGATCATATTAGTTAATCTCTAGCCGAGAGGTCATCTTTAAATCTCAATTCTAACCTTTCCAAATGTTTCGCGTATTTGCGTTAGCTTGCAGAGTATTTTTATCGGATAAAATTTATTTGTGCGTTTTTTGAAAATGTGATTTCGAGAGATTTATCGCGCGATAAAATACGTCGCGAACTTGATGCAGAGGAAGGAACGTCACGGTCGAAGCACGGTTACACATTTACTTCACGATAGCGGACGACGTTTAAATATGCCGATTTAAATGTATCGCACGATTGATCATGCTCTCTTTATCGACAACAATGATCCACATCGAGGTGTGTCTACACAAATATATACAAACGCACATGTTTCCCTCGTAATCAGAGATTGATACTGCCAACTTCGGCAAGTTCGATTCTCGATGCTTCACGTATGGGAAATGCATCGTGCGCTGAACAAACACGAAAGTCACTCTCGCATACATGTAACGCCGAAGTCTAAACTCGCCGAAATTATTCCGGTATTCAATCTTGGTTTGTCGGTTCGCATGGTCGCGTCAACACGTACACAGACGCGTGACAGGAGGAGGATGAACGGAGGGATTTGCGTGTCAACGGCGGACATCATTCTACGCATCGTCAGGAAGGCATGCATCTACACCGCGCACACGATACGGAACGGCTATTAATACTTCTGTACATACATATATATATGTATATATTTACACACACATATAACATGCGACACACACGCTGTACAGATAGATCAATCAATACGGTTGATGTTGATTCGTTCAGTGACACGGAGGGCGAAATGGGGATCGAACAAAGTTCGGGTGTGTACGACATACAGACGGCACAGTCTTTGGTTGGCACAAATCTATAGATATATAGACATACAATTTATGTCATGGGGGGGGGGGGAGAGCAGTCGATATATGAGTCGGGCGGAGGCCGGGCTGTGGGGGAGAGACAACGTTTATATATGCGGCGGAGCAGTTGGTGAAAATGCGTACGGATTCTGCATTTCGACGGGGCGATGCAGCGACGGCGACGGCGATGTAGCAGTGCGTAATCGGGAATCGAGAACGAGCCTCGCAATTTCGGCACCTGTCCTATCTATCGAGTCATGGATGGCGAGCGAAGCTCGTAAATCCCATCGTCGGGATATACGTACGTGCGATGAAAACGCGGCTTGTATCCTCACGCCACTGTGCGTGATCGAGGATTTCACCATCTGTGGCTCGATTGAATCGCGCGCAAATTGTTTAATTGACCGCGTCTTAATTGATTCCCGCCCGGGCGCTTTTAACGCGAGCTCTTTCGTTAAAGACTCGGAGTATTATCGAGCAGATTTTAAGGACAGAGATTCTTTCACAATTCACGAGAATTATTATACTTTATTATTGTAATCGATAAGAAAAGATACGTATAACGATTTAAAAAAAACAGAAATTTATCATCTCACGATTCAATTGTTACTGGGGTAAGTTCGGTTTCTCGGCGAAGCCGCGATTTAACGAGCGAAACTTGGCGAATGTTTTCTAGCATTTCGAATTCACGAGAGACCTCGAAGTGAATTCGCGCGAGAACGAGTAAACGAGCTCGGTATTGATCACCGAATCTCGGCTGATCGTTCCGCTCGTAAATACCGAATTCGCGGTATCGTATTCCATGCGCTCGCACGTGCGTATGCGGTTTTGTTTCTTTACACATACAATCAAATGGGGAAGTTGTGCTATTATCGAACAAGGTAAGACTTCGTGCCAGTATATGCCCGCTCATTAATTCCTCGTATAAAGCATGTGATCGATACGGAATTGCTGAAATATGATAATGAAGTATCTGTTCATAAATTAATGAGCAAATAATTTTCGGTCGGAAGAAATTGTAAAAAAAGAAGAAACTGGGAAACTGAAATTTCGCAACGTTTACTGATATTTTGCACCGGCAATATTTCCAACTTTCAAAACGCGAGACGATATTCCGATGAAATATTCCGTCCGTATGAAGCCGTGCCGGATGCGCGTTGTAGAGTTACAACATCGTACGTTTAATTGACCGAAGCCATTTTCTGCGCGCAATCGCGAAAAAGTCGAGTTAAAATCGAGGGAAAGAGAGGAGGTTCCACCGCTGCCGCCGCGCGCTGCACCGCGAAAAGAAAGGCGGCGGTAATGGCACCGCTCGACGTTGCGATGTATTTTATGGAGACGATGGGGTTTGAGGAAGTTTACGATTCTTTACGATCTACGATTCTCGTCCGACACGCATATGTGGAGGGAAGAAGTCGCCCGCCCTCGGCGCGTCTTGTTGCCTCGGTCCTCGTACGATCCTCAACTCGCCGATCACGAGGATGCATCTCGTAATCGGGCGCTCGCGCTCGCGTAGCGATCGATTAACAAGCAACGATCGCGCGATCTTTGCGATTTTATTCGATTGTAATCGACCGTTAAAGACGAGACGTCAACGCTTCGAACCGAGATAGCGCGAGCGAGCCGCGTGCGGGCG